CGGGTGTCCGCGGGGGGCGCGGTCGAGTCGAATGTCGTTGAATCCGCGGCGTGTCTCCGGCAGGCCCAGCCGCGAGACTGTCGGCGACTGGCGTTTCGCCGCCGGGGGGGCAAGCGGCCCCTGGCGCGTCTGGGCGGGTGGCGCCGCCCGCGGCTCGGGCCCTGAGGCCCGCGCGACCGGCGCTGGTCTCGGGCGAGGGCCGGCGGCGGGGTGCCCGCGGAGCTTGGCCCTGGAGGAGGGCGCCGGGCGCCCGAGGCGGCGGGGGCGACCCCGCGGGCCCATCCGCGGGCTCTCCGGGCGCTGGGGTCTTATTGAAAAATGAATTCAGCCTTGGGATCTGGGCCCCCGCGAGGTCACCTTGTGGCCCGACGCTGGAAGACGTCGACGAGCACGAAGCATCGAATCGCCTGCTGTTCGGCATGATGCCCAGTCTTCGCGACGGGGGCGCGGGGCAGCGAGTGCCTGCGCGGATTCGCGGCGGAGCTTGAGGGCGCGCGGCGCCGATGATCTCCGCTCGCAGTGGTTATGACCAGCGCGCGCTCGCGTGCCTTGCGAAGTGTGGCCGCGAGTGGCGCGTCGAGACTGCGCGGGCAATTCCTCGCCCAGTAGCCCATGGGGCTGCAGTTCGGCGGGAGGTCGGTGGTGCCACTGATTGGAGGCGGACGACATTCAGATGCAAGGCGAATTCCTGGTCGAACATTCCGCGCTGTCTCGCGCAGTTCGCCAGTTTGTTTTGCCCGGGTGCGAGCGGGGGGCTGGCGGCGGGGCGCCGCGCGGGCGCGTCAAGCGCAAACGTTTCAAGCTTGGCCATCCATCATTTGGGGGGCCGATCGGAGCGACGGTTGTCGCCTGAACAAGTTGGGCCCCAGGTGATTGAGCGGTTGGAAGGGGGGCGTTCGTGGGGCGCCGCCGTGGCGCCCCTGAGCACTTCGTCGGCGCGACGGATGCGGGCTGCCGCCGAGTGGCCGTAGCGGGGCGGGCGCGCTGCGGGCCGCGGGGGGTACGCCGTTAACATGACCCTCCCATGAGGCTGCGCAGCGTCGCTGCTGGCGTCGTCGGGGCCTGGGGCGATCGACGCCCTAGAGTCGCCGCCCGCGTCGCCGCCCGATGGCGAACCGGAGGTCTGGTCTAGAAGCGCGCGCTATCACGACGTAATATCTCAAGGGGCGCGGGCGGGTGCGAGGGCGCCCACGGCGCGGCGCGCATTTTCGGCCAGAAGACGACGTCCTACCGCGCTGAGGGCCGCGGGAGAGTACGACTTCAGGGCGCCGCTGGGGAAACAGACCAGCGCTAGAAACGCCTCGGGGAGGCTGGCGAGAGGATCGCCGCAGGCCTGGCCGACCACTTTCGGAGACTGGCGGGGGCCCAGCGGGCGGGGGCAGGGGGCCGGGAATTCCGCGTCTGCGGGCGAAGCCCCGCTGGCAGGCAGAGTCGCGGGTGGCGCCGCGCCTGCCGCGGCGCCGCGCTCGGCGGCTGGGGGCGCGGGGAGTTCCGCCTCCGCTCCCCGGGCCCAGGCAGCTGACGCCGATGCGGCGGGGGGTGGCTGATTTATGACAGCGGGCGCGGGAAGCGCCACTTCTGCCAGCGTTCTGGGCGGCGCCGCCGTGCTGCTGGAGGGCGCGACGCCAATGCGCATGTGCTGAGATGGGCTCTGCATGTCTGCGCGGCCCCCCGGAAGTTGGGCGCCCCGGAAGCGCCTGTTGCCGCGGCCTATCGCGCCGCCTCGGAGTGGCTGGGGCGCGCGGGCGGCCATGTTTGACGTCGGGGGAGCGGGCCCCGGCGGCGGCTGTTCTTTGGTTTGCAGCTTGCGGGCAGAGCAGCAGAATGTACTCTGGTTGATCGAAGGTGATAGTAAACCGGAGGTTGTCCTGGGTTCATCCAATGATACCGGTGAAAAACCCCTAATCCTAATCTTTTTTGGGCTATCGGGCTATGGGGCAATAGGGCTATAGGGCCATGGGGCTACACGGCTCCGGGGCTATATGGTTTTAGGGCTGTAGGGCTTTATGGGCTATAGGGCCATGGGGCTATAGGGCTATGGGGCTAGATGGCCGTAAGGCTATAAGGCTATAGGGTTATAGGACTATAGGGCTATGGGGATCTAGGGATATAGGGCTAATGGGACTGTAGGGCGAACGGGGCTAATGGGGCTATAGGGCCACGGGGCGCCGGGGCACCCGGGCGCCCTGGCGCCCAGGCGCGCCGCCGAAATCACCGCCACAGCTAATCCAACAATATGAATCCGCTAGGACCCCTACAGAGGCAAGCTCTGGTTGGGGAAATATCCCCCAGCATCTTCGTGTTTGTTTTGCGATTTAGAAGGGGTGGGGGGCGGGGTTGGGCGGGGCGGGGCGGGGGCATTTCTCGCGCGCGTCGCCTGATTGCGACCCCGTCGCCATGGTCTCTGGCTGGCGCAGGGGGGCCCTCGAGCTGGGCCGGATGTGTCCCAGGGCAGCGAAGTGGAGTGCATGTGGCTGCCTGGCGGGAAGGAACTGGTAAGCCGCGTGGCACCCCGTGCCCCAGGGCAGGTGGCCGACGCAGCTGTCGCCCAGGGCCTCGAAGCACAGCTCGGATCAGACGGGGGGATCAATATTCTCTTCGCTTGTTCCTTACATCTTGAGAAAGACTTGCGAGAGCGCCCTCCCATGGGTGATTTGCGTGACCTCGCAAGAGGCGAGTGCCGGCCTGCGCGCTGGATTCCACTTTCGCTAAGGGGGTCTGCGGGGCCGCGTGGAAGGGGCGCGGTGGTCCCGAGGTTTGCGAGTGGGCGTCTGCGCAGGAAGATGGGCAGGCAATGCGAAGGATATCGACTGGCACGCGTGGGGTGAGCGTCAGCAAATGAGGTTACAAAGAGTCCAAACTGCCAGGTCCGCTTCTGTGGCTCGGAACTGAAGGTCGTAGATCCTGGCGGGGGAGTGGCAGTCGCAGCCGCGCCGCTTCTCGAGATGCTGCGCCCCCCTTGGTCTTTGATGATTGCCGCGCGCTTGGAAGGGCGGGCGATGGGGCGCGGCGGCGCGGGGTCGCGGCGCGGCGGTTCTCGGCCGCGGCTTGGGCGCATTTTTACAGCCCCGCGGATGAGCTGATCCGCGCGGGCGCGTCGCCAGAGCGACGCCGCCTTGGTCGGCGGCGGCGGCTTCTGGGGAGCGTGCGCGGGGCCCGCCGGGCAGGGCGCGATTGGGGGCGATGGTGCGCGAGCGTGGTGGTCGAGCGCCTTGGCCCCGCGCAGGGCTTGCGCGGCGCGTGCGTGGCCTTGCGCGAAAATTGCCGCGCCAGGGCTTGGGTTCGCGGAGACGCTTTCGCAGATCTTGGATCGCGCGCAGATGTCTATAAGTGGACGGGCAGGCGGCATCTCAGCGCTATGAAGACAACTGGCTCGATGGCTCCAGGGCCCCCCGCGACAGCGAGGAAATCAAATGATTGAACCGAATCGTTCGGCTTGACGCCGAGAGGCGCTGTCTCGAGTGGGGGTGCGACCCAAGGCGCGCGCGCATGGCAGTCGGGCAGATGGGTCTCCAGAGGAATTGTCGGAGTGGTCGCTCCAGGTGCCCCCGCTGCAGCGCGGGGCCCAGTGGGCGACCCAGTCCTCGATGGAAGCGCGGCCGCCCTCCGCCCGGGCATCCCGGGGGCGTTGCGCCGAGCAATCGATCGCCCGGGCTCGTTGCATCCAACCGCGCGCGCAGCGGCGCAGCGCGGGCGGCGCGCGCCCCGCCCGGGAGCTTACTGGAGAAGATCGAGAGGAATCGCTAGCTCGCGTCGTCGCCGCGGGTCGCGCAGGCGATTCAGTGGCGGCCTAGGCAGGGCAAGCTGGCGCAGTGCATCGGCGCGGGCCGCGCCGCGTGCAGGTCAGTCGCAGGTCATTTTCTGTCGGCGCGGCAATGCGCGGCGCCCGCGTGTTGGCGGCGCGCCCCAACGCGCAGAAGCAGCCGACCACCTCCGCAGGGGTCGAAGGCCAATGGCGCGTTCAAGGTCGGGCCCCGCCTTGCGGGGGCGGTTCTCACGTCCACGGGCGACGGCGCGACCTGCGAGGCCGAGCTCTGGGCTGATGCTCCCGCGGGGCGCGGCGTCGCATCGTGGCGCGGCGCCGGCGAGATGCGACGCCTGCGCGTGCAGGCGCTGCGACGGCAACAAGCAGTGACCGAGAAACGCGCGAGCGTCGCGAAGACGAGGGCATGGGGCATTCTGGCCAATCCCATCACGCATTAAGCGCGTCGACGGAAAGACGACGTGGCGGCGGTTGGCAAACCGCGGTCTCGAGCTCCGGAGTGGCCGGAGAATCCTCGCCATTGAACTGGCGAGGGCAGCGTAACTTCCACGGCGCAGTAGCGGGGGGGCCCGGGCCAGCGGCTGCGGGCAGCGCCGCGCTGGAAGGGCGAAGCGGATAGCTCCGCGCCGCATGTGCGACGCGTAGTGATGGTAGTTTCGTCTGGACAGTGGGAAGGCTGGTCCATCTAAAACCGCCGCGCGGGTGGCCCCGCTGTTGGCCCCGCGCTCCGCTGCCTAGGAGATTGCTGTCTCACGGAGCGAGGGCTTGGCGACGTCAGCGAGAAGGGGGGTTGGGATGCAGAACGCATTTGTTGTGTCTCAGTGCGCTGAAGTAGGGCAGGGCAGAGTGGCGAAGGGAGGTAGCATCGCATGATCACGTCCCATTCCGCAGCCGTTTGATTCAACCAGGAAAGATATTCGCCAATCCCTCCTGGTCGTGACTCTTCGTTCGGTTTGGAGAATTTTGCGCCGTTTTTGGGTTATTTTGACCGTCCGGGGTTTCGAGGCTCCAGTGGGCCATTCTCGGGTGCTTGTTTGGGCCGTGGGAGGTGCGCTGACGGGCTCCTCGCCGCCCCGTGCTTGCCTCCGGCCCCGCCCGCCCATCCCGCCCCCCCCCCGCCCCGGATTTGTCCGACCCCGAATCATTCGCCCAAATGAGGCCGGGACGTCGGGGGGGACAGACAAACCTTCCACGCGCTTCACCACCCCGAGACAGTCGGAGGTCGGCGGGTACCCAGCAAAAAGAGCGGCTTCGCGTACCTGAAGGTAGACGGCGTCGCGACCCCCGCAGAAGCTGGGCCAGACTGCAAGTGGCACGTTTGCGACGAGAAGGGCGAAGGCTACAACAAGGACCCCCGCGTTCGATGCGTGGAGGTCGCGCCGGGGCCAGGGTCTGGAGCGCCCGCTGCCGGATCCGTGGCCCCGTCAGCACAGCCGGACAACTCCGCGTCAGACGACGACACCAGCAGCGACGAGGCCGGGGACTTCAGGGCGGGAAACATATCCGCATCCACTGCCTTGCGGTCTGGACTTTTTGCCGTGGCCCTGTGGATACGCGGCGGTTTTGAGTGGCCGCCCTGAAAAGGGGTGTCCGTGAATGGGGCCGCGTATCCATGGGAACGCGCTTCGGTGACCAGATCGCGAGGGCATGGATATCGACATGTTCGTGAGGACCGCACCTCTGGCGACGAGGAGTCCAGCTCCGAAAGCGGTTCGGGAGCGCGGGCCGCGCCGGGGGCCGCCGCCTGGACTGCGCCGGGGCGGGCGGCAGGGGTGGTCGGACGAACCCGAAGACAACGAAGACAACTGTTGGAGTCAGGCTGGACGGTGATGAGCCTTTGAGACAGGCGCCCTCCGTCCGTCCATGTTTTCTGTGTCGTCGGCCCAACGGCGCCCCTGACTTCCAGATGCCTTGCGTCCTTCCAGCCTGATGGCTGGTTTTGCTTTGTGCGCCACGGACTTTGGTCGGCCATAATATTTGGTGCACAACCGCTCCAGCGCCCCATAGATTCGGAAATTGGGGCGTCCGTGCGCCAATCCTTTCGGCCGGCCAAACGAGTTGGCGTTTGTTGTCAGAGCCCCTCCCAGGTGGTGCCCAGGCGGGCGTGCGCGAAGATGCTGGTGCGCTCTGGCCTGCGGTGCGTTTGCCACTTCTCGGTGCTCCGGGACTGCCCGGGCCGGTAGATCAAGGCCTTGCGGCAACCCTCGGGTGTCTGAGCCCCGCCGCCTGGCGTCGGGGGGAGGGGCAGTCCTTATAACAGTCCCGGGGCGCGCGTCGAGGGCAGCGTGCGTGAGGCAGGGCGCGCGCCTGTCGGAGCGGCGCCGTCGCACCTGTAGTGCCGTCTCCCCTCCCTTTGGTCCCTGTCGTTCTCTTGGTCCTCCTCATCCTCCTCCTTTTCCTCATGGTCTTCCTCCTCCTCCTCCTCCTCCTCCTCCTCCTCTTCCTCCTCCTCCGCCTCCTCCTCGTCCCACTCCTCGTCCCCCTCCTCCGCCTCCTCCTCCGCCGCCTCCTCCTTTTCCGCCTTCTCCTACTCCTCCTTCTCCTCCTCCTCCTCCTCCTCCTCCTCCTCCTTCTCCTCCTCCTCCTCCTCCTCCTCCTCCTCCTCCTCCCCCGCCTCCACCTCCGCCGCCTTCTCCTCCTGCCGCCGCAAGCGGTCACTGCCGCTTCCGCGTCAGCGCCGCGCACTGCCACTCCCGGCGCCCAAGGCTGCCCGGGAGCGTTGCGCGGCTCACGTGGGGTAGTCCACGTCCCCCTCCACAGTACGTACCCCGATGGGGTATTGTAAAATCTGCCGACGAAGAGGGGGGAGTGGGGGGAGGTCGTCCACCGTGCGAGGAGGGAGGACAGGAGGAGGGGGTGTCGCCGTTGGCCTCAAGGGAGGAGGAGTGCAACTGTTGACGTCCTAGGTCAATCCCACCCCGAATGTAAGTAGGTAATCCTTAGAGGACCTAGTGGAACGTCTTGCAAAGGTAGATGGAGAATAGGGAGTGTATGATGTTGGCTGTATCGCAGTAGGATGTATAGCTTCTTCTTGGAGTCAGTCAGTAACTATGCCGGTGCTTCGTACCCTGTGTAGCCAGGAACGGTGAGTCCTTGTAAATCTTCACTGGCGGCGGGTAGTTGATGTCGCCAGTCTCGGGTACAATTTGGTGCTCCTGGAAGTCGCTGTACTGGTGAATGAAGTGGCCGAAGTAGCGGACTTCCCCTTTCTTGGTCGGGTTGTAAACGAGGTTCTCGTTGCTCTTGAAGATGATGTCCTGGTGGAACGGGTCGTAGAGCTCCAGCTTGGTAAACATCTCCGTGGGGTAATGCTGGAAAACAGGACCATGCATAAGTAGTGACTTAGCCTTCTTCAGGTCGCCGACATTAGGCGTAGGGTACGTCGGTAACTGCGGCATGACCGTCTTGTCCACGGTGGGGAAATATACCTGGATGATCGTCGTGTCCGTGTATTCTCGGTCTTGATGGTTGGGTAGCTGGAGCGCGTGTGCCAGTCTACGCGCTGCAGTGGCATAGGGTTCTGCCAATGCAGCCTCATGCCTTTATTTCGTCTGGCACTGGTATGTAAGAGCCTTCTGGACACGTAGCTTTGAAAACTTGTACGTCTCTGGAGTCGGCGTACTTGTAGAACTGCTGGAAGGCCGCCTGGATGTCGGAGACGTAGAAGCCGTAGGCACCGCTCTGGTTCTGCGATATCTTGGCAAGTAGTTGAGTCCAGCAGTTGGACGAGGACCCGTCCGAAAGAGTAAACGGGAGCGGGTAGAAGTCCTGGACCCAGACACCGATCTGGCCGTCCGGTCCCTCTGCGTAACATGTCGTGGTCTCCTCGGGACCAGTCGTCTCATGCTTCTGGTAGTAGTTGGCGTGGCGAAAGATGTAGATGCTGACGGCAGCACCCCGTAGGGGTGGTGTAAGCTGACGCTTGAGCCGTACGCTATACACGAAGTAAAGAGAATCTGTTTCTGTCCGTCGTAGTGTACCTGCCAACCAGCATGGAGTACACAGCATAGCGGATAGCGTTGGTGGTATTGGGTGTGCTGCCAATATGTACCAGCACAGTTGATTGTTGAAGTGGACGATGTACCACCTGACTATGTCGAGACCGCTTGTCACGCAGGACTTGTGGTAGGTAAAGCGAGGAGGTACATTCTCGTTTGATATGTAATGAGTAGCTGGCTCATGGTGGCTTGGAGCGGCACAGATAGCGTTGGTTGTATTGGGTCTATTGCCAATCTGTATCAGCACGGTTGGTGAAGTGAAAGACGCAGGCAGGGGTGGTGGTAGGCAGGGCAATGAGGGACAGTTCACATTTTGCTCTGGAGTGGGTGGCCAGCTCATGGTAGCTTGAAAGCGGCACGCACAGAGTCGCTGGTCGCTGCGCTGCCTGCGCGGCGGCTCAGGCAAGGGCCGGGCCGCGCGCTCGGCCGAGCGCGGGGCCTCCTCGTTCGTCCTGTCGGTACCCTCCACGGGCAGGGGGTTCTGATCGTACATGATCGTGGGCTCGCTGTAGTGGACGCTGGGCAGCTTGTAGTCGCCGTAGCCTTCGTAGTAGTCCTTGCACATCGGGTGGCGGATGTACTCCCAGTCGAGGTCGACGTAGCGAGTGAGCTTCCAGCGGAAGCTTTAGTCAGTAGCCGAGCCCTCGGTAATCACCTCCCCGTCGATCGTCTGGTACTTCATTTGTAGGACTCGGCGAGGCCCGTGTAGGGGTTGCAGCGGAGCTTCTGGTGGCATCGCATCCTGTACCCAGAGTCGTCGTAGATCATCAGCTGCGCGAGGTAGCGGGGCTCAATGTGGCCTCGCCCTGGCATGGGCTGGTCCACGATAACGGTCTTGAGGTCGGCGATGGTCAAGTCGGTAATAGCCTTGATGGTGATGTCCTTCTTCATCGCCATGGAGAATACGTCGAGCGGCTTCTTACTCTCCTTGGGGTAGGCTCTCTGCTTCGCGTAAAGGTACCACACGTTGGGGACCCAGAAGTCAACAGGTAGAGGTTGTAGGGCTCCGTTCTCCGTAGAGTGGGGGCCGATGTCTCTCCTGTCTATCTTGACGTCCGTCTTCCACAGAGGAGGAGGGCGCTCAGGCAGAGGAGGGGCCGATCTCCCGCGGGGTCGAGGGCCGCTCAGGCAGGGAACAGAGTGCTGCTGATGTTTCAATAAGGCGATCGTATGGAGATCTGACTTGCCAGTCGTAGTGCAGAGGCGACGCACGTCAATACTTCCGTAGCCGACTGACTTCTTCTTGTTCTGAACAGTGGTATTTCTAGCGAGGAGAACACGCCTCACACACGTAGCTCTCCGGGTGTGCTGTCTGAGTGTCAAGTCTTGGTGCAGATGGTTACTTTCTTTAAGTGTGCAGATTGGCTATGTAGAGGAGCGTCTCACCGGAATCCGCACAGCTTGCACAATACATTGTGATGGACTCAACTCAGTTCTCCTAGGTGGCTCTGACGCGATCGCTGGAGGTCGCAATCCATGGGCGGCAACAAACAACAATCTTGACGCCCTTCTCCGCCGCCGTGGCTTGTAGACGTCGATGAGGTACCCCTCGTAGAACTTGCAGTGGTGTGCGCGGATGCCGTACACCCGTAGATCTCGGGGTAGATGCGCGACTTCACGGGTATCTGCAGCCAGCCATCTGGGTTCGTATTGGGCTTGAAGATGCCGTACTCGTTGTACGTCTCCTGCTTGACGATGTTTCCGGGGCAGGTCTGCTTGATTCAGGTGAAAAGCATTGCAGTAGAGCCCAGGTGGTAGCTGTATCGGCACCGATGCTGGCGGTAGTTGGCCCGTTTGAGCCGAGTAGCTACATACGGCGCTGTAAGGTGGCTGGTGATGGTGGCTCATAGCCCAGGTAAGAATAGGCGTACAGTCAGTCGTCTTTCGAACGTGCAAGAGCTGGGTTGGGTCTATTTCGGTAATACACAGGAACTGGTAAGGAGTCCACCCACATGTAATACGGAGGCCCCACTATTTTGTCTGTAGGTGCACGGCGTACTGTTTTGCCCCTGGCACACGGCGCAGTAACACAGTAGTATGGCCCATGCTCTAGTGCTCCTCCGCCTCCTCCTTGTATTTATTATGCAAAGCGGATTGTACGTGAAGTACGCGCGCTTGAGCCAGATTGTGGTGGTGACGTGCAGACTGGAATAGGTGTCCAGGCTGGTATAGTGGTTGGTATTTCATCCGAGCGTGTGCTTGTCGTGGTAGGGGTGTAGATGATTATGGGCGTTGGTGTGACTGGGATCGTGGGCGAGTATGGCT